GTTTGGAAAAGGGAACAAGATGCTTGGCTGTTTTCTTCTAGAAATTAACACATGAACCCCAGTTCTGTGCTTATACAGAAAGAGATGATACACAATTATGGAAAATCCTATGTTTAAGTGTTCCATGAAATACAGGATGCTTAGGAGCAATTTACAACGTACAGATCCTGAACCTCATTACAGGAAAAGTATTAAAGTATTAATGATGAAGGGTGGGACATTTTCTTTAACACATGGGCTCCATGTCTCATGCCGCTGAGCTTCTAACATTGCTACCCCAGGGTGCACACTAGGAAAACAAACCTGATAAAAACAAAAAGAAAATGTTTCTTAGCTATATTGACAGTTCCCCTAATTTTTCCTTTAAAAATGGTGTAAGAAGCTAATCGACCAGCTGCAAGGGTGGCGGCACACACCTTTATCCCAGCGCTTGGGAGGCAGAGACCATCCTGATTTACAAAGCAACCTCCAGGAGAGTCAGTGCTACATAGAAAAACCCTGTCTAAAAGAAAGAAAGAAATAAAGAGAGAGAGAGAGAGAGAGAGAGAGAGAGAGAGAGAGAGAGAGAGAGAGAGAAAGGGAGGGAGGGAGGAAGGGAGGAAAAAGAAAGAAAGAAAAAACAAAACAAAGCTAATCAATCAAAAGCACAAACTCCCATAAGATATCCTACAAATGGAGGAAGTCACATGCTGACGTGCATAAACAGTTCACTGTTGACGCGATCCTCACCCAGGAACACCAGGTTGCTGTAATTCTCCAGCATCACATCCCTGTACAGATTCCACTGAGCAGAGTCCAGACATTCACACTCCTCTGCAGAGAAATTAATGGCCACATCTGTGAATGACAGAAGTTCCTGAAATAAAAATAAATATCATAAATTAATTAAATAGGACAATTTAACAGTAAAAACAACATTTGAATATTCTAAATACGCTAAATGTAATACAAATACTTTCTTTTGTTTCTCCCTCTCTGTCTGGTATTCATGCATCTGCAATGCTCCTAAAGCAGATTTTGAACTCATGATCCAATTGCATTGCTCTTCCAAGGTCTAGTGTTATCAATTCATGATACTACCTTCTTTTTCTCTTACTTTTAAATTTTCTACATTTCAGCTCCCCTGTTTGTCTTATCTTAGTGTATAATGTTCAAAATGATCTATGAGGTCAGTAATACTCTTACTGTTTATTTTAACTTTTAAAAATGAGAGATGTGCATATTAATGAAGGGTTATATAATGTTAGCTGTATACTTTGTTAGATAATACTAGCTAGATATATACCTTGCATGGTCCTTAAATAATTTTGAAGATTCTATGCAATAATATCCTAAGCGTCCTGCTCCGACCTAACTGCATTGTGCACCCACTGATCAGTACTGTCTGTGCATCTCTTCCTCATATCACTGGACCATTGAAAACACTCATATCTCTTCAGTTCAGTGAGATCAAGTTCTCTGGAGTCTGTCTATGGTTGAGATTCTATGCTACTTTCCAGGTCTGAAATAATAATGCTATCTACATTATCATAGACAAGATTCTGCTCTTTCAGACTGAGGGGCCACTGACAGTAGCACTGGGATTTATCTCTGCTACATGTACTGGCTTTTTGGGATCCCATTCTCTTTGGATGCACACCTTGCTCAGTCTAGATATAGTAGGGAGGGCCTGGGACCTTCGACAAAGCAAAGTGCCTTACCCTCTCTTAGTATTAGAGGGGCTGGGGTGGGAGGGTGTGTGGAGGAAATGGGAGGAGATGAGGAAGTAAGAATTTGGATCAGTTTTTTTTAATAAATAAATTAAATAAATAAACAGATTCTGCTCTTTGTGGCACTGGACATATGTGTGTGTACTTATGAACATATGTAGAGTCTCCACCTTCCCCTCTCTGTAGGATCCTCTAAACCCTGTCAAAAGACTTTCTGATGGAGACCATAAAATGCAAAGTTACAAGAATTCCCTCATCTATCTAAAGCCTAGTCTTGGAATTTACTCTCATGTAAAATGTGCAAAGTTGTTAGGAAGGATCATGGATAACAACAGCACTGTTACTCAGTTGGGACCCAAGTAAATTGGACACTAGGAAAAGCACTGTGCATATTCTTCAAAAACCTACAAATATAACTAGTGTGAGAGGTCCTTCTGTCTATGTGTTGCTTTTATTGGTTAATGAATAAAGAAACTGCTTTGGGCCTATAGAACTTAGCTAGGTGGGGGACACTAAACTGGATGCTGGGAGAATTTACCGAAGAATCTACCTCTGGTATCTGAAGGAGAACACAGATGGACACATCAAGAAAATGACTACAAAATAAGCAAGGACATCAACAAACCAACAGTGGAATGCAGTAGGAAAAGAAAAGCTATGGCTCCTAGAATGGCAAAGTGAACGGGCAAACATATACAGGAGACCAAGCCCAGACAAGGGCATGTGGAAGGAAGCCAGAGCTAACATGAAGGACTTCCTCAAGCAAGAGGACTGTGAAGGCAGACCAAAAGAACTCTAAAGAGGGTCTAAAGGATTCATGAAACATTGCAAGTGGGGGGAAAAAAGAGGAAGTGAGAGGAGGGGACGTAAGCCAGTAACACTACTACGTGGGAGGGGAAGGCAGTAAGACTGGGCTGTAGCAGATCCTCTCTCTGAGACAAAAATAAAAACAAAATCAAAAACTAAACGCCAGTAAGAATCAGAGACAGAAGAAAGCAATGTTTAAAAGAGGTTTGATATATGATAAATATATGTGCATGCATGGATATATGCTGTGGAATAATCCTCTTGTACATCGTAATATTTTGTCACTCGAATCAGTTTAATAAAAGGCTGGTTGGCCAGTGGGCAGGCAGGAAGCATAGGTGGGGCAACAAAACTAAGGATGATGGGAAGGAGAAGGACAGAGTCAGGAAGACACTGGCCAGACGCCGGGCACACACAGAGAGAGCGAGATGAGCACGCAGTACTGAGAAAAGGTACCAAGGTGGCAGAGCATAAACGAGGAATGTGGGTTAACTTCGAATGAAAGAGCTAGTTAATAATAAGCCTTAGTTATTGTTCAAGCATTTATAAGTAATATTAAGCCTCCGTGTGGTAATTTGGGAAGCAGCAGCCTGACATTTGGGACTGAGCAGATATGAGACAAGAAACATCTGCCTACATGTATATACTAAATATTTATGTGTATGAGCTATAATATAAATGAGCACATTGCTGTATCACCTCTGCATTGCAAGAAACAAGATCTGAGGTACAAGAACATGAACTTTTCACAACTTAAACAGTGTAAAAAGGCGTATTATTAGTTTTCTGTAGATTAGTGATGTTAATTAGGAGTGTCTCTGTCAATTATAGTTAGATAATACATAGAAAATATTAGTGTTTATGATGTTGTTTAAAGCCTGTGCTTTTTAGGAGTAGACTTTAATGTTGTAAGACAGTCTCCAATACAGGAATACTCAATTTGACTGAAGTGTGGCAAAAAAAATTTCTTTTTGTTTGTTTTGTTTTGTTTTGTTGAGACAGGGTTTCTCTGTGGAACCTTGGCTGTCCTGGAACTCAGAGATCTTCCTGCCTCTGCTTCCTGAGTGCTGGGATTAAAGGTGGCAAAATATACAGCAGCACAATAGAGTGAAGCGGATGTGGTGGCACACATCCCAGTGGTCTGGAGGCAGAGGCAGGGAGATCTCAAGACCAGCCTAGCCTGTAGCTACTTCCAGGACAGCCAGAGCTGTTACACAGAGAAGTCCTGTCTAGAAAAATAAACAAAAACCAAAACAGGGTGAGTGGTCAGTGTTTACAAATCACCACAGATCAACTTCATCTTTTAATCTTTCTGACACTGTATAAATACTTGGGCATCTCCCTGCCCCCTCAAGACAACTCAGACTCATGGCTTTCAGAGTTCCTAGACATCGCAAGGATGGAAGAAAAGCTTGCGGTTAGAGAGCACTGTAGATAGCCTGTAAGATGTACGAGACTGTTTCTCCAGCCCAGAGACATTCATGGTCACTCCATTAACAATCCACACACCAACTAACCTCTCCTTTCAGGAAAGGAGTCCGAATTGCTGACATCACTGTCTCTGGTGGGATTGGATGTGGTATTGTTTTCTAGTATTTTTTACCCTGCAATGTAGGATCAGTTGGAACGTGCCACGCTTATGAGATTTTTCCCGCCTCACGTGAGTGTGTGGGAGGATCCGGCCAAGGCGGGTATTCACAGAACAGATTCCTATCCAAAGTGAGCCATCCTGAAAACTAACCATTTATTCTGAAGAAAACGAGACGAACATCCCATATATCAAACTCTCCCACAAAACTCTGTCCTGGAATCGAGGAGCTTTATGAACTTTTGTCAACTCAAACCAAGATTTCCAGGCCGGCTACAGAGTACAGGAGGAACCAGAAAACCCTACTCGCTGTAGATGTAGACGTCCTGAGAAATCTGACAACAGCAGTAGGAGAGGTGATAAGGCCATGCTTCCCTAGCCAAGCTGGAAGGTGAGCTCCCACCATGGCCTCGGGCACAAGCAGTCGGCCAAGCCACCCTGCTCTAGCAATCCTGGACATTCCTTCCACGTTCTCCCTTCTTGCACGAGCGGGCCAGCTCTCCAGTCACTGAAGCACACGGTTGACTCCTGCAGCCGCCAGGTCCCCAGCAGAGCATTGGCTCCCGCACCATCAGCACGCCCACTCCCCAGCGCTCCCCAGCCCTCTGGCCAAGCCCTGCGTCTGCACAGCTCGCACCAAGCAGCTTCTCCCCGCCTCCCACCCACCCCTCCTCCGCTCCCTCCAGGCCGGACCTGCCCACCCCGCACAGGCCCTCGGGCCCGCAAGGCTACGCTGCACCCTTGACCAACCTCCATGGCGAACGCGGAACACAAGCCACACTCTCCCAACTTTGAGAAAGGTGCAGAGTTTGGAGAAACACAAAAATGCAGAATGAATCCGGAAGCACAGACAGCAGAGTCCTGTCTAGTTGACGTTGCGGTGAGAGACTACATTTCCCACAAGGCTATGCGAAGGACTGCCCCAAACCTAAGAGCACGCTACGTACAGTTTACTGCCTGCAGACCATCCCTGAGATGAAGCTGCTGTTGAAATCCCCTTACCAAGTGAGTTCAGCTTTTAACGGCAATGTGCATTGCTTTTATTGCTTACTCTGATCAATATGTCGTGACTTAAAAAGATCAGGTGTACTTAGGAAATTAGGGCAGGAGGAAAAGTTCACACTGACACAATTTTACTTCAAAATAACGGAGCAAAAAGCTACGTTGGGACACACAAACTCTTTAGGATTATTTTTTTGAAACTACGTTTCCTGGAAATGTTGTGTAATCTCAGATACTCCGGGGCTTGAGACAGAAAGCTCACAACTCTATGTCCCAAATGACAAAGGACCAAAGAGAGAGGGGCCCACTTAGTGGTAAAGCAGTAGTATCACAAGGAAGAGGCCTGGATTTAATACCTATTTTATTTTTAGGGTATTTTTTGTTTTTTATACATTTTTGTTGATATTTATTGAGCTCTATATTTTTCTCTGCTCCTCTCCCTGCCTCCCCTACCCCCTTCAACCCTCCCCCAAGGTCCCCATGCTCCCAATTTACTCAGGAAATCTTGTCTTTTTCTACTTTCTACTTCCCATGTAGATTAGATCCATGTAAGTCTCTCTTAGTGTCCGTATTGTTGTCTAAATTCTCTGGTTTGTAGGCTGGCTTTCTTTGCTTTATGTTTAAGAACCACCTAAAAATGAGTACATGTAATAATTGTCTTTCTGGGTCTGGGTTACCTCACTCAAAATAATGGTTTCTAGCTCTATCCATTTTCCTGCAAAATTCAAGCTGTCATTATTTTTTTCTGCTGTGTAGTACTCCATTGTGTAAATGTACCACATTTTCCTTATCCATTCTTTGGTCGAGGGCCATTCAGGTTGTTTCCAGGTTCTGGATATGGCAAACAAGGCTACTATGAACATAGTTGAGCACGTGTCTTTTGTAACACGAGTGAGCATCCTTTGGATATATTCACAAAAGTGGTATTACTGGGTCTTGAGGAAGGTTGTTTCCTAATTTGATTGATATATTTTTTTCCCAACTCTTTACTCTGAGACAATGTCTGTCTTTGAGGTTGAGATGTGTTTCTTGTATGCAGAAGGATAAATTCTGTTTTTATATCCAATCTTTTAGCCTGCGCCTTTTTATAGGTGAGTTGATTCGATTTACATTAAGAGATATTAATGACCAGGGATTGTTATCTCCTGTTAATGTAGCTTTCATTATTGGTGATGTTAATTTGTGCATTTTTCCCTTCTTTGGTATTTGCTGCTATGACTCCATCAATTGTCTGTGTTTTTTTAAGTGTAGCTAACTTCCTTGGGTTGGAATTTTAATTCTTGTATTTTATGTGGGTCTGGGTTTGTGGCTAGGTATTGGTGAAACCTAGATTTGTCATGGAATATCTTGTTTTGTCCTTCTATGGTGATTGAAAGTTTTGCTGGGTATAATCTTTTGGGCTGGCATCCATGGTCTCTTAATAACTGCATAGTGAATTTTATCACAGATCTCTGCAAAACTGACCGCAGAGAAGGTTCCATACGTAGAGAGACATAGTTTCCAGATTAAGCTGTCATCTCTTCATTATTAGATGTACACTAGAAGCTTGGAATAAAATAATGCCTTTATACTATAGAAAATGATTCCTTTGTTAGACAGTAGGTGTTTGTGAGCCTTCTTTAATCTCCTCCCTTGCCAGTGTCTGATCACTTATAAGTCTTTAATATTTATGACAATCCATTTGGAGCTCAGGCATTCTCTCCTATTAGATAACAGGATACATAGAAGTTGTGAAAACAATAAAAAATTCTGAAGCAGAAAATATTTTTTTCAAGTAAACATTAAAGTATATATCCAGCAGCTATTATAAATGATTTTAAAAAAGTGAACAATCTCCAATGCATTACTATTCCGTGGAGGAAAAACTAGCTGGCAGGTGTTCGTCTTCACTGCATCCTAAAGACTGTATGATGGAACAGATTCTCAGGCTGTATCAAAAATAACTAGAGGTGAAAATTTGAAGAAAATTTAACTTCTAAACTTGTAATTTCTGTTCAGCCTTTTTGGCCTCTAAGGAAATTTGTCAAACATGCCATTATCTTTGCATGTCTTAAGCATCATATTGCCCAGAGGAAATACTTTTAAATTTTTATAAATTCCTTTTACTCCTTATTAGTTTTTTAATTTCTATCTCAAATCTGATTACTTTGTTATTTTAAATTTTTGTGCCAGGAAAGAACATTAATATTAGCAAGACTGTGGTGGTGGTGCACGCCTTTAATCATAGCACTTGGAAGACAGAGGTAAGTAGGTCTCTGAGTTCATGACCAGTCTGGTCTACAAGAGCTAGTTCCAGGACTGGCTCCAAAGCTAAAGAGAAACCGTGTCTCAAAAATCCAAAATGAAGGGGCATGGTATTTATTCATTTATTTTGTTAATGTTGCTGTTAAGTGGATCAATCTACAGTTTTCCTTCAACATCAGAGATCTGAGAAGGAGAAATTAGAGCAGGAAGTCTAATCCAGATGGCCTCTGTGTCAATTAATAAATATTTTAAATGTCATGTTCAATGGATCTCTAAGGATTTTGAGGATCATCTATTAAGTGTGCCTGAATTTACACAAACTTTCCTTGTATTTACTTCTCTATTTGGAAACATGTATGGAACTAAAACTTGTTCTCGTTAATGAATTACATTGTTGATAAGCTCAACTACAAACATAGTTTTGTGCACATGGAAGCACTGAGTCATCTCTAAGGTGACTGACCATTAACTTGAATGTTCTAATTATCACAATTCATAATAAATTAGTAGCCTCTGTAAGATGAGGATTTTACAGTTTTATCCCTGTTAAGCTTGAGCCTTCAAATTTTGAATTGAAGATCTCTTAGAATTGAAGTAAAACTTTAAAATATAAAGTTTTTAAAGACAAAAATGCTACTCATATATCTTTAAGTTGGTTTCTGTTAGCCTGAGTAGACCTTAGGAATTTAAGCCTCACTTATACAACATATCTTGGTTTTTTATTTTAAAAATTTTAGAAGTCTAGTGTTAGCAAAGAAATAAGTGGTTAAACGTTCACTTAACAAAGACATAAATTGTTAGACATACATCTCTCAGTCAGTTTTTTGTCAACTTGAATAATCATTATAACCTTAGGAATTTAATGGTATATAAAATCTATTCTAATCTAAAATGCATTAGAGACCTGCTGCTGACAGTTTGGTCTATAAAAAATTACAATAAAACCTAAAGGGGACAGTGTACTAGGAAGTTTATAGGACTGCGTAGTTGGTTTTATACATCATGGTCATCTTAATCCAAACGATGGTGAAGTCATACGGTGTGTGTTCTTCAATTTTTCTACAGATGACTTCTGAACACATGGTTGTTTTCATCCTGATGAGGTCATCAGTCCAGATGGACGCAAACCATGTCGCTACTATTTAAAACTTTCTATTTTTGCAGTGTTTTTTTATAGATCTATATTCTTAAACAAGAGTTGAATCATATGTGTAGTATACTGTAGTGAATGAAAATTTCTTATTAATAGGCTTAACTATCAGCATATTTTTGCAAGCATCAAGCTAAATTTTTGTTACGGTTTTTTTCACCATACCAATAAATTTATTGATCCTGAGATTAAGAATTTATAGAGAAGAGAGAGAGAGTTCTATGCTCCATGTGCCAATTTATACATGAGGTTAGTCAAAATAGTCAGTGTTGGAAAACACTTCATCAAAGTTGATTGACAGTAGCGACTTTTGTTGTTGAACTGCATAATCCAGGAACGGGTGAAGTATTTTCTGTGGGGTGGGCAGAATTTGTGTATAAAATTTAGGCCCCCTTGGTTTTTTTTTTCAGAAAGTCATATATAGAAGTATTAAATGTAATAACTATAAGATTTTTAGATGTAATTTCAGGCAAAACCTATGGAGTATTTTTTTGAAAAAATCTTAGATAGTTATCCTTTGGATAGTGATTGTCCTAGTTACGGTGTCTGTTGCTGTGAATAGACCCCGTGACCATGACAATTCTTAGAAAGGAATATGTTTAATTGGGGTGAGTTTATGGTTCAGAAGTTTTGATCCATTATCATCATGGCGAATGGCATGCAGGCAGACATGGTGCTGGAGAAGGAGCTGAGAGGTGTTGATCCTTAGGCTTGAGCGTGTGAGACCTCAAAGCCTGACTCCACAGTGACATACTGACAGTGCCGCACCTCTTAATACTGCCACTTCCCATGGGCCAAGCATTCAACACAAGAATCCACGGGGGCCATACCTGCTCAAACCACCACAGTGATTATAGATCCTGAGTCAGTGATACTGCACCCTGCCAATTATTAGTACAGAACAAATATCCATCCTGCATTTTCTTTGTGGTGTGATAATCACTGAGGTTCTTTACCAATAAGGGACTGAATCTATAAACTACCCAACAGCAGTACTTAGGAAGCTAATAACCTGCTCTGCTTCAGGTGTTCTATTTCCTGGTAGCAAAGTTTTCAGAAAACTACTTAAAGAGCAGAGCCAAATCATTGGGAGTGATAGATTAGCATTTATTTGTTTTAAATAGCAGAAATTATAAATTTTTCCATTTTAGTTTATTTACTCTGAAAGTTAAGCCCTCATTTTATATAGATTTAATCCAGATGAGCAGGAGAAGAGAATATCATCCATATATTGCAGGAGTAGTAGCTCAGGGAATTTAAACATTGTCAGCTTAAGTGTTTTATGTCCTAATTTAATGTTTTGCAACTAGAACTTTTAAATTTTTACCATTTCAATTAATCTCCATGAATGAACCATGAATCAATCTATATTAAGTTATTACCACTATTCAGGAAAAGCAAAATAAACTAACACGTATAAGCAGAAAACAAAAACAAAATCTAAATTCTGGGGCAGCCAAGTTGGCCTATGGTGTACTTACAATGCCCTGCCAACCCTTTCTTAGACCTGGGGTGTTACAGAGGCCTCTCTCTCTATCCCAGTAGGAGAAAAGGGACACGTGGCCAGGGGACTTTGGCTTTCAATCAAATTGCTTAAAAAGACTAAACAAACATGGCTGGCCTGGAAGCCAAATAGCTAGTTAATATATTGAGCCTTGCTGTGACCTCCCAAGATGTGTCCAGCAAGAGAAAAATGTTATTTTTTGTTTGCTTATTTATTTTGTATACATGAGTATGTACATACGATTTGTTTTGTCCATGAAAGGAAAAATGTTATTTTTTGTTTGCTTGTTTTTTTGTATACATGTGTGTATATGTGTGCATTTTGTTTTATTTTCTTTGACTCCCATTCTTGTTCTTTACAAAAATGATTGACAAGGATTTTTTTCTTCTCCTCCATGGGGTCTCGTGATATTAGTTCTTACGAGAATACAGTGGAGGAGGTATTGCTCTGAATATTTCATCCCTCTGGATCTGGACAAATATTTCAGTAAGTATATAAAACACTGTCACAGGGTCCTGAGAAGAACCTGTATTTCTCCCAATCTCTCATTAAAGATCATGAACCCTTTAAGTGAGTCCTTTTTTCAGTTTGCCCGAATATCTACTGAAAGAAAAACTTCCTTACCTTCTCCTAGGACCAAGTCCCATGTTGTGTTTGTTCCTCCAAGCTTTATTGCTGGTACAAAAAGTGTCCACATGGAGTTAAGAATGAGACTCAGGCCAACACCACTTTAGCCAGCACTGGTTCAAAACTTTCTTGAGTTAGATTATGCAGTTTATTTTCCTTACAAATTAAAGCACAGTTAAACTTTGGGATTCCATCTCAAAATGGTGACAGCAAAGCTTTAACCGTGTCTACGCTGGAACTCCTTTTCAATGTGCATCACTTTGGTGAGACACCTGTGACCTTTACCCTGAGAGTGGGTTCTTATTCACAGAGGAACAGAGTTCAGGGTAAAGGTGTAAGGAGGACTGGTTAGTAATAAACATAAGCTTAGGTTTTATTCTCTGAGAATGCAAATTACAGGGGACCACTTTCATAAGGATTGGCTTTATTCACTGAGAGACAAGGCTCAGATTTAGGGTCTGTACGATGCCTGGGGTCTGGGGTTGTGTCAAGATTCAGGTGATGGATCCAAAAAGTAGGAGAAGATCTCCATTGTGTAAGGAAACCTCCACTCCAGGCTTCCCAGTGAATAAGCATCAGTCATTTCCTTCGAGCTGTGCCTTCTGCATCATTCCCTTTGTCCTTTCATGAAGGCATCTGAGAAAGTTGAGTCAGTGTTAAGTCCCCACAGCCACTGAACTTATTGCTAAATTGCCTAATTAGAAATTTGTTAAAAATACTTGTAATTCCATTTTGTCTACAAATTGTTCATTTATTTTTCTGCCTCTTGGTGGCAGAAACTCAAGTCCCTTGGTGCAGACATTTGCATCACTCTGTGCATGCTCAGGAGACAAAGCTCAGCCCAGAGTTGCTGGATCAGATCTGCACCCTCACTGTATATATCATTTGTGGTTGCATATGGGCTGAGAAATACCCTCTGCATCTCCATAGCTCTGTAATGTTAGAAATCTGTGTTATGTTTGCTGTATTATGATATTAGCATGGGACAAAATCCTTATCTGATCTCAAGATTTTATTGTTTATTTATTCATGTTGTGTGCATGGTTGTAATGCTAGTGTCCTTGTATAAGGCATTGTCTGCTCCTCTGGAACTGGAGTTACAGACAGTTGTGAGCAGCCATGAGAATCCTGCCTCCTGAGAATCCACTCCAGGACCTTTGGAAGAGCAGTCAGTGCTTTTTACTTCTAAACCATCTCTGCATCCTGAACAGTCCTCTTTTGGAGATACACTCATTCTTGATTTTATGGTTCTTATGACTAAAATATCCCTGGAGTTTCTAGGATCTTCTGCCATTCATTGTCCTTAATGATGAATCCTGTGCAGCATCACAGTACTACATCAGACTTGTTTACGGATATTTTTACCTATATCAGAAGGGCTTCTAGCTCTCTTCTCACTCTTGGTGACCTTTATTATGCCTCCTGTTATTTGTGCTTTTATTGTTGATTTAATTAGTATAATATATAGTATTTATTCATTTTCTTCATTTCAGGAAATGGTGTCATTCAGTGATGTGGCCATTGATTTCTCTGCAGAGGAGTGTGAATGGCTGGACCCTGCTCAGTGGAATCTGTACAGGGATGTGATGTTGGAGAATTTCAGCAACCTTGTGTTCCTGGGTGGGTTGTCCCATTTTTAAATTGTTGCTGCCTTTTAAGCCCTGACTCTCCTAAGCAGGAACTGCAGCTGCAGCGTTATCAGCAGTGGTTGTGTCACAGGAGCTGCAGCCTGAGGGAATTCTGTTCCCTGCTGCACCGCCTCTTTGAAAGCTATGCAGGGAACTTACATAAATCTCTGTCCTCCTAAAGAACTCAAGATTCAGAGGCTGAGGTGGACTTCCTCTCCGCAGAGGGAAAGAATAGCAAATATCTCACCTCCTCTCCTTGCTGTGTCCATGAAAAAGCTCTCATTCTTCTCCACACCCGGACTTAAAAGCCCTTCTCCACCTGGCTCCTTCCTACCTCTTCCAGTCAGCTCGTTGCTGACGCAACCTCCTGAGCACAGGTGAATTTTATTTAGTCAAACAAATGTAACATATCTTTCCATCCTTAATCAAATGTTCCAGGGGATGCACAAAATCAACACACATTGAAGAAATATTCTACCACATGTGTGAGGGAAACTTCCATGGTGAACTCTTAATTAACTGTCAGCATAAACTTATTTCTTTCTATGGTATCTCAAGGGTGCTTGTGCTAAACAGTGAAATTTATAAGGCAAATTTTAGGGAACTTAAGGAGAATATTCATATACCTTAGAATTTTTTTCTTTTTAAAAAAGAAGATTTAATTTCTTTTCATGTTCATAATACTTTCCCATCGTTTTTAGGGGTATCCTTTATATTGGGGATAATGACATAAAGTTAGTGGCATGAGTGGGAAGCATCCATGTTTAAAAGAATATCATACTCTTTGATTTTGATATTTTTCTTTGTAACTGAGGGATATGAAGCTCAGGACCTGCACATCCTAAATTCCTCCTAAGCATTCTGATGGCCCCATCAGGAAATCCATGAAGAACTAATCCTCTATCATCATTGATTGTGACCTCTCATTCCTTATATATACAGTCCTAGACAAGACATGTGATCCCCAGGAGAACACACTAATAATGATGTTCTCTTTTCCCATAAACAGGACTTACCTCCTCTAAGCCTTCACTGGTCACATTTCTGGAGCAAGGACAAGGACCTTCAGACATGAAGAGACAAGCAGCAGCTGCCATGGAAACAGGTATGTAGGAATGAGGGGACAGAGGCCAAGGTGAGAGGCCAGAGATCCAGCAGAAAGCCAGGCTTTGTCAGCAACATTGACTCACAATGTTGTGATGGACATACGGTTTAAAGGATCTCCTTTTGTATTCTGCTGTGAGAAGAGGATGTTCCTGGTGCATTGATTCTGTCATGCTTTGTCCTTCTCCCATCAGGTCAGCTCATGTTTACAGTAACTGACTGAGCTCTGTAATTTTTACATAAACACTATGTGTTTTTTATAAGTTGGTCAGTAGATCCTCATTCATGAGATGTGCATAAATCCTCCTGTCTTCAATCCTTGAAATATATTATTTAATATTGAAATGCACAATTTTCTACTTATTCAACTAAATTTTCATACCTTTGAAATCTAAGCATTTAGGATGTATATGAACTATTAAATTATTGTCTTCCAACTTGGACTACATTTATACTTTGTGCTCATCTGGACATAAAATTTTTATATGTATTTAAGTGTCTCATTTAAATTAGCATCATAGTTTTTTCTTAGTGGTTGATGTTATGCCTTCCGTATATATTTGACATTGATTCATATTCATTTGTTTCTATGTTCTATGTTGTCCTGGTCTTTGTCGTTCACTTCTAGTTATGTAATTTCTACCTATCATGGTGGTTTTAATTAGGATGCATTGAATATATCTTTAGAATATTGAATGTAACATTATTAATATTGAAAAATACAGGTCTGAGCCAATGTTTCTATTTTTAAAAATAAACATAAATATAGAGAATTTTGCTCAGGTTTCATTCATTTCTCAACTTTTACTCACCAGGAAACAAACACTCTACTGGCAAAGAATGTGGCAAAGCTCCTCCTTGGAACTCACAACCTATTAGCCACCAGAAAATTAATCTAAGAAAGAAGCCATATAAGTGTGAAGAATGTGCTAAGACTTTCCGTTCTCCATCCTTACTTTGTGTGCACAGGAGAATACATATGGGAGAAAAAGCCTACAGTTGTGAAGTATGTGACAAGGCCTTCCATGTTCCATCGTTACTTTCAAAACACAAAATTGTTCATACAGGGCAGAAACCCTACAAGTGTGAAGTATGCGGGAAGGCCTTCTATTTTTCAACACGACTTTCTCTACACAAAAGAATTCATATGCAAGTGAAACCCTACAAGTGTGAAATATGTGGGAAGGCCTTCTATTTTCCATCACGACTTTCTCTACACAAAAGAATTCATATACGAGTGAAACCCTACAAGTGTGAAGTATGTGGCAAATCTTTCTGTTTACCCTCACGACTTTCTGAACACATGAGAATTCATAGAGCAGAAAAGCCCTACAAGTGTGAAGCATGTGGCAAGACCTTCAATTATCCATCACAACTTTCTATACACAGTAAGATTCATACAGGAGAGAAGCCCTACAAGTGTGAGGTATGTGGCAAGGCCTTCTGTTTTCCATCAAAACTTTCTCTACACAATAAAATCCATACAGGAGTGAAACCCTACCAGTGTGAGGTATGTGGCAAGGCCTTCTATTTTCCATCACAACTTACTATACACGAGAGGATTCATACAGGAGAGACACCCTACCAGTGTGAGGTGTGTGGCAAAACTTTCTATGTTTCATCACAACTTTCTGTACACAAGAGGATTCATACAGAAGAGAAACCCTACAAGTGTGAAGTGTGTGGGAAGGCCTTCTGTGTTCCATCACAATTTTCTGAACACCAGAAAATTCATACAGGAGTCAAACCCTACAAGTGTGAAGTTTGTGGGAAGGCCTTCTGTGTTCCATCACGACTTTCTGAACACCAAAGATTTCATACAGGAGTCAAACCCTACAAGTGTGAAGTGTGTGGGAAGGCCTTCTATTTCCCATCACGACTTTCTGACCACAAGAGAATTCATACAGAAGAGAGATCGTTCAAGTGTGAAGTATGTGACAAGGCCTTCAAAAGTAAACCAGTACTGTCTGTACACAAGAGGATTCATACAGGAGAGAAGCCCTACAAGTGTGAAGTGTGTGGCAAAGCCTACAGTCGGCGATCAGGACTTTCCGCACATATGTGGATTCATATAGGAGAGAAACCCTACAAGTGTGAAGTGTGTGGCAAGGCCTACAACAGTCGAGCAGGACTTTCCGTGCACACGAGGGTTCATACAGGAGAGAAACCCTACGAGTGTCAAGTATGTAACAAAGCCTACAAGAGTCGATCAGGACTCTCGGCACACAAAAAAATTCATACATGAGAGAAACCCTCCAAGTGTCAGGTATGTGTCAAGGACTTCTATGTTCCATCACACGTTTCTGAACACTAGAACAGTCATACAGGAGTGAACCTCTTCTAGTGTCAAGTGTGTGACAAAGCTTTCTATATTCCATCACAACTTCCTGTACACAAGAGGATTCATATTGAAGAGAAACCCTACAAATGTGAACTATGTGGTCAGGCCTTTACTGATATTTCATGACTTTCTAAATCTGTGAGCATTCATACAGGAGAGAGACGTTAAAATTGTAAAGTGTAGCAAGGCTTTCAATCCTCCATCAGCACTCTCTAGACACAAAAGAAATCATACAGGATGGAACCCTGGAAGTGGGAAGTATGTGTCATGGTTCCATGCTGCATCATTATTTAAAGTATTTGAGAGAATTCATACAGGCAAGAAATCATACCACTCTGTAGAAAGGCCTCTATATTCCATCATGACTTTCTGTACAGAAGAGCTTTCATATAGGAGAGAAATCATACATGTGTTTAATGTATGGCACATCCTTCACTCATCAGGACTGCCTATATACATGAGCATTCATACAGGAAAAAAACCCTAAAACTAAGAAGTACGTGGCAAAGTCTTCCACTTTCCATCATTACTTTCAGAACACAAGGCATTCATATAGGAGAGAAACCCTACAAATATGAAATGTGTGACAAGATCTTTAAAATGTCACAGATTCTTTCTGCTCACTTAATAATCCATTCTGGAAAGAAATCCCACTAGTTTGAAGAATGTGAAAAAGCCTTATATAAAATGTCATACCTGACTCAGCACAAATTCACTCATACTGGAAGAAACCTTCCAAATGTAAAGAATGTGAAAAACTGTTTAACTATACCTGAAAACTTAAGGAACATCAAACAATACATTCTGGAGAGAAACCCTACAAGTGTAAAGACTGTGACAAAGAATTTAGAACTTTTGTAGCATGTTCTCGGCACCAGATTATTTATATTGGAGAGGAACATTGTGAGTGTAGAGAATGGCAAAACCTTTCAGCAGTCTTTGGTCTTAAACAACATCAAAGAATACACTTGTGAGAGAAACCCTGTGAAGAGTGTGCCAAGTCTTTTGCACTTACTTAGAACTTTTGAAACACCTAATAATTCATGCTCAAGAGAAATGCCACTACTGCCAAAAATGTTAAAAATAAAAAATTCTTTTTAATCTTTCAAGTGTTTCTCAGGACAAGGTAGTTCAAATTGCAGTGAAATAATACAAATGTTCATTAAATATTATGTTTTATACTTCTATATAACCTAAAATATATCAAAAATTATTCTGGATAGAAACCCTTCAGATAGGGGTGACACTGTGGCATATCCTGCTGTGTATTTGTGGCTTTTATTGACTGATTACTAAAGCTATTTGGGTCCATGACTTAGCAAATTAGCATAGGCAGTACATCCGAAAAGATAGAGTATGTAGCATCAAGGAGAAGCCAAGAAGCCAGCAAAGAAGAAAGATACCAGAACATTATTGGTAAGCCACAACCTCACAATGATACATGGATTAATAGAGATGGCTTAATTTAATATTAGACTACAAATGTCATTAGTGTCAAAAATGTGGGGGAAAAAACCTTTAATAAGGTTTCTACTGTTTCTCAAAACAAGGTAGTTCAGACTTCTGTAAAATAATACAAATGTTAAAATGAAGATAGATGCTAAAAAGAAATCCCACACTTGCTCTGAATTGAGTATAATAAAAGGTTATTTATTTAGGGGTAGACTCACAGATCACAGTCCTCTGCACAAACAGGGAATAGGAACTGAATATTGCAGCTGGAAGGGAGAGAGAACATGTGCTTTACATCAGCATTTATAGTATAAGAGGTCACGCCCAGGTGGGTGGGTAACTTAAAGGCTACTGGCTGTAGGATTTCTAAAAGCACCTCTCCATTTCATTTAAATAAGAGAGTTCTAAGCTTGATACAAAATTATATACAATGAAAACAAATAACAGGTATAAAAATTAAAATAACAACCAGCATAAACAATGTCAATGGAGAAACATGTGATAAATGTTTCAATAATTTTCCTATCCTAAGAAGTATAAGTCTTATAAATAACTTAGAGAAGTTATGAGAGGAAAGTAATTACAACTGTATAGTCATTTTTGTTGTTGTTTTGTTTTTTTCAAGACAGGGTTTCTCTGTAGCTTTGGAGCCTGTCCTGGAACTAGCTCTTGTAGACCAGTCTAGCCTCAAACTCACAGAGATCAGCCTGCCTCTGCCTCCCGAGTGCTGGGATTAAAGGCGTGCACCACCACAGTCCACCTTAACTATCTAATCTTCAATCCCATCAAAGACCTGAGAAGGGAAATAATATTACTTGAGTATACAGGAAGTGCAATCAAGCAACTTCCAAAATGTGCAACAAAAGCAGAGAAAACTGGCTACCTACACAATCACCCAAAGTCTCATTTGCAATGTTGGAGCAGCCAGTTGAGTAACTGACAGTCCATTATCAGAGACAAGAAATTTTTCAAAACTGTCTTACCCTGTCTTGGCAAGATTTGACAGTCTTTTTTCTTGTATCCTGCTTGTCCTGTTCAGACACCGTGCATTTTGTCAGTGGTTGATGTATGTGCAGTTCCTTGCCCAAAAGCCAGTTTTGCCAAGAAGAAAACAAGTTCCAATTGTAGTGTCTTCAGTGCTTGACATTCTCTAGGAAATAGATTGGTGCTACCGTGAACAATCGTGTCTCATGACAATAGAGCCCTAAGTTATTTAAATGCCCTATTCTACAACTCTTTGAAGTGGTAGAAGATCACCTGTCTATGTAGAATACAATCTATATGTATCCAAAGAGTATGGCAAACATGGATGACCTATAATTCTTAATACCTATATAAATTAAAGACTAAGGCTTCATATTGGAATATTAAATAATCTTTAAATAACTGTGTAACAAATTAGTACAATGGCCTCAAAATGTAAACAATGTATAAGTATCTTGATCAGAGGTACAAATGTATATTGTAATATGATAAATATATCCTAAAATTGTATCAATATACAAAGTGTCTTAAGCAGAGGTAGAAGCATGTATTTATACAATATGACAAAATAACTTTTCCTAAGTATACAAATATTGTAGATAAAAATAGGAACTTATTTAATATAATTTAAGTTTGTATCAATATACAAGAATCTATACCAATGTAAATTGCCTGTAAATTATATCTCATATGTATTCACTCTATTACTCACTGTACTATTAATGTAAGTAAGTTCACACTAATCTATTATCCCATCCAATTTACCTTTTTCTTTTTCAAAGATATCCCTGAGCCTACATAATTTCCACCCCAACCCTATACCAATTATAAACAACCCCTAAATGATGTCCCTAACCCTGAGGACAAACTTTGTTGAGTTAGGGGATGATGTCGTCTAGAATTACTTCCAGCTATCATGGGGGTGATGTTCTTTCTATGGGAACCTGTGAAAGTAAAATGATGGTTAAGTTTCAAGATTACTGTGAGGTATAATTGTAAATAACCCCTGAGTATTCGGTAGGGTTTTTCTGAAGTTCCAATTTTGAGTTCTGACCAGAACATTGTGAAAAAGTGCACCATTTCTAACGAAGTTAATAGCATGTTGAGTAGCTGGTACCCAAAACAAGTCTTATAGTAGTGCTATCAGCATCATGACATCACATCAACCAGGTAGAGTTGTTGTGGGACCCCCTCTTCTTCCTGTAAACTTCAAAGATTACTGCAGGAAAATTCATTATTCCTTGTGGAAAACTTAAACATTATTTATACAGACATATATTCAATGAAAGGTACAATAGACAAAATAGGTATGAATAAAGTAAATTTTTTTCTAAATTCTTTCTTTTTTCTGCCCTAAATGCCATGGCTTGTAGTATGAGACAGAAACTCTAAATTTTTCTTTTAAAAACATGATTGGATTTAAAGAAGGACAGAGCCATTGTCCAACTCCAAAGCCAGCTTGATTTTTAAGTGAGTCATGACTATTATTTTATTTAATATTCAGAGATGCTTACCCTCAGATGACCTTTCCTCCTAAGTGATAATTTTCTTTGCTTGGTGATCCCATCTGGATATTTATCTTTTCCTCGTTGGGCATCTAGATATCCAGGGTCTCTTGACTTTCTAAAGATTAGTATTCTTTTCTGCAAAGACAACAATCGAACCCTGTCCCAACCCTTATGGGGTTTCCTTACCAGCTTGTCACCTCTGTGGATGAGCTGTCATTTCTCTTTCTCAAATGATTTTTCTTTTTCAAACCTAATCTTTATTAATTGTGAAACTCATAACTTTTCTTCTCCTGTTGAAAAAAGAGAAAGATCTCTTCCTCAACATAGCATATCTTCTGGCTTCCACTGTGAGGTTAACACATCCTTAAAATACATTGGCTGATATAGTTCAGAAGACTTTTCTATTATCCAATGTCTCTCTGCTGCTGTTGTACCTTTCTCATTAGCATTAAAAAAATTCAAAGTTAATGAAGCATTATATAATCTATGGGGGGGGTATTTTCCATCCCTTTTTGTTTGTTTAACAATCCTTTATATTTTGATTTGATCTTCCTATAACTGCCTGACCTGTAAGATTGTTTGGTATACCTTTAATTTGCTTTATATTATAATAAACAAAAAACTTTTATTTTCTTGGAGACCTATGCTGGACCATTACCTGTCTTTATTTTTGCAGGTATACCCACGACAGCCATTATCTTCTAATAAATGTGTGATTACTGAATCAGCCTTTTCTGAGCTCAAAGCTGTTGCCCATTGAAAACCTAAATAAGAATCAATGGTGTGGTGTACATATTGTAATTTTCCAAATTCTGCAAAGTGGAACACTTCCTTCTGCCATATCTCATTCATTATTCAAGTCTTGACTTCACAGATTCTATCATATATTTTATGACTTATTAATTCTGAACCTTGCTGCATTTAAACTTAGGCTTACCCTTTTTTCTGCCTTTTAGACAGGCCATAAAATTGTTTACTAAAGAACTTAGTATTTGAATTTAGAAATCTTCAGTATAAGAATTCAAATGAAGGCTGCATTCTCTTGAGACATTCAATGAACCATTGTAATTCAAAGCGATATTAATGAGTCACCAATTATTTCTGCATTTTATTAGGTTAGGTGCAGCACAAATTCTAATAGGCCTTAATAATAAAAACCTTGAGTCAGATATTATAGGGGAAAGTTGAAAAATAAAAGAAGCAAAACAGCCAACCGATAAAGAGATTTTTATCTCTGCCATGGCTCAGACCAAAGGGGTGATCCTGTCCTCAGACTGACTACTGTTCAGCACTCCTGCCTCCACCTTCCTAGTGCTAGGAGTAAGGCATGTGATCACAAGAACTGGAAACAGAGGAGTGAGCTCTGTATCTCTTTTATACTTGTTCGACCTCATATAGTCCAGGGCAGCCTTGAACTCACAGAGGTCCATCTGCCTCAACCTCCAAAGTGTTATGATGTGGGATTTCCCTCCGTATGCTGTGACTGCCATTGGTTAATAAAGAAGATGTCTTAGACCTGCACAAGGCAGAACATAGGTAGATGGGGAAACCTAAACTGAATGCTGGGAGAAGGAAGACAGATTCAGGAGAAGTCATGGGGCTGCCATCACCAGAGACAGACATGTTGTAACCTTGCCGGTAGGCCACAAACATTGTGGTAAAATATAAAATAATATTAGGTGGGTTAATTCTAGATCTAAGTGC